TTTGGTTCATGTTGATACTTTCGTGGTTGCCTTCAATCAATTGAAATTGTTTATTTAAGCATTGTCACATCTTAGAGAATGTACAAACTTACCGCGCGACAAGAAAAAGTGATTGGGATACAGCAACTTGAAGCCGAACAACGTGAATATGCATTCCACGGAGAAGGAGCCCCTGTCCACAAAATCACCGTTGAACAGATAGGGATTCTTCTCAGAGGGCAGGCCATTAATCTCGAAGATGTTCATCAAATCGTAGAACTGACCGTGGATGTCGCCGCAGATTGTGAACTTCTCCTCATCCGGCACAGTGATGTCCACCAGCGAGGGCTGAGCCCGCATGTACGTATCAATCTCGCAGAGTATCTGAAGGGAAGGCAAGGATTATACCAAGCTCTTCTGCGCTTGAGGGCTATAAACTTACTTTGTAGGCAAACTTTCGGTGCAGTCGCTTTTGTCCCTTGTAATGCTCCATCAAGTCCTTCATGAACTTCAATGTCACCTTGCCGTCCTCCAGCTGTGGTCCCTTGTAGTCATCCTCGATAGCTGCGAGACAAGGTTTATGTTAATCTTTCTTTCGTAAGAAGGAAAGTGGGCTACACACTTATGTTCTCCATGTCCCTGTACATCTCGGAGAGCGTCTTCTCGGGCTTATCCACCGCAATGGCCCGCTCAAAGGCGCGCATTTTGACGATCTTGTTGCATTCGGTGAACTTCAGCTTGGCGTCCTTATCGTTGGGCCGGCACTTGGCCACCTGGAAGGCAATCATCGTTCAGTGGATGGATCAAGGATGCTGGCGGGGTTACTTACGAATTCAAAGTCGCAGAGGGCCTGCTTAAACTTCCCCAGGGACATGTGCGCCGCTGCCCGGCGGTAGTAGCCCTTAGGTAGGCGGGATCCGCCTTCACCGCCGAAACACCATCCTGCAGTGCGTAGCCGAAGCTTTCCTGACGCAAGTGCGCTAGGGATCGGTTGGCGTAATATATCGCGCTGTTGGGCTGCAGTTCTATGGCTTTGGTGTACATGTCGATGGCTTTGGAGAACTCCTTGGCTGCGGGAGAGGGCCATAGTGAGTAATAGTACTAATTATACCCCATGAGTTCCGGGAGACTTGTAAATTATCACACACAGCCATAGTTTGCCTTTGTTTTAAGGTTAGGTTGAAGGAGGTACTCGGAAAGTGCACTCCCGGAATTCGTTACGGGTGCTAGCAGTCCACTAATCGCGCTTATTACGTGCCCAGTGATGGGCAGAGGGTGTACTTACTTTTGAGCATATCATTTCCCTGATTTTTGTACTGCTCGGCCGCGGCAAAATCGCGTTCCGCCTGAGTACTGGCATTTGTATCCGACTCCGGCTCCTTGGCGCCCACGATCTCCGCGCCCGCCGGCACCTGCTGCTCCTGCTGGCCATCGGCAGCCTTTTGTATTTCCAGTTCGGACGAAGACATTTTCTTGTTGTAATAAATGATTTTCCTAAACTTATTTACTTGCTGCCTAGAGGTGGAGAAACATCGATGCCGACATCGACGTTTTTGGAGGAAAACATCGATTGCCGAAAATATCGGTTATTCTCCACCTCTACCATCTACTTTATATACGATATTTCCGTGTATCCAGGTGGTAACCTTCGACCAAATAACATTGAAATCGCTCGTTTTTTGTAAAGATTATCCCGCTTAGAAAGTCTTTAAACTCAGCTTACCCCGCAGGTGGAACCAATCGATAACGAGCTTCTAGGTGGCTATCGATAATCAGCTGTTTTGAGGTAGGTTTACACTAGAGATGCGCACGTGACCTTACTCTAGCGTGTCACGATGGTAAAGCTTAAATTTAAAACAACTTATATGTCGAAATCATAATTACTGGTCAACATACATACATAATAATCAAGGACAACATTTCTGTAACTCTCATATACTATTCAAATTAAGTTTGTTTTAGTTATAAGGAGAGCTTCATAGTTAAGAAGAAGTAAATAAGAAAGCTGATAAATTAGTTGCACCCAATAAGATAAAAAGTTAAGATATTGTTTTTAAAATATAATCCGGCTCTGAGTGATTTGTGAGCTTTTGCTCCATAGTTCGTGCCTGTCGTGAAGAACATTCACTTAGGCGCGGCATCTCTAGCTTAAACAAAGCCGAGCCTGTGCTGTGGGAAAATTAGAGCGGAAACGGGTTTTACTTTTACTGGTAACTTTGGAGCGCAGCGCTCTCAGCCAGCATTCACCCAGCAGTCTGGAGTTGCAGTCGCATCGAATCGAATCCGTGGCAGCGCATTGCCTAATCCACATCCACATTCACCTAAAAGCCAGACAGGGGATTTGCGGGGGCGTCACCGACGTGGGAAAAGAGCAATATAAACAAACGGCAGCGGGATGTCGATGAGCAATCTGTCAATAGACGGCGAGTTCCGCTACATAATCCAGTGGTTCAAGGAGTGGAGCGAGCTGCAACGGGATGACTTTGTCTACGTTTTCGTGGAGTACCTGGCACGGGGCTCCACCTCCAACTCCAACTCCAGCGAAGTCCATATGAATGGCCTGGTTAACTCGCTGGCCAACGCATCCGTCAGGACAAGCCCATGAGCCTGTTCCAGTGCCGCGTAAGTAGTAGAAAGTTTCCATCTCCATTACCCCCCTTTCTCACGGTTCATTGTCCGCAGATTAAGCTGTTCCGTGAATGGAGCCCCAAGTGGCCGATCGAGTTCAAATGCATGCTGCAGGAAAAGATTAGCGAGATCGACGCGAAGGTGGGGGAGAAAATCATCAATGAGCTTCGGGGCCCCATTCCGTGCACAATGGCGACGTAGCCGTGCATTTAAATGCAAATGGGACGAGCGAAGAGGGCGGGGACCCCGAACTGGAGCAGCCATCACCGGTACCGGTGGCAGAAGTGGCGGAGGTCGCAGCCCCGGTGGCGGTCGATGAGGCTGAGTCAGCTCCCGAACCAGATGACAATCGCTTGGCGGCGGTCTTGAGCCAAGAGACGCCCGTTGATGACGACGACGTGGATGAGCCTGCCGGGGAAGATATCAATAGCCAGGCCGATGCAATGTAAATGGCCATTATCCAGCAGCTGCAGTGACAACGATTGCGGTGAATACATCTCCATCTCCATCGCTATCCCCGACTCCGCAGCCGATTGTCGAACCTGTAGAACAGGTCGAGAACGGCGTTACCGTCACCGTGGCCTCTGCAGAGGTTCCCCCGGTGGCTTAGACTCGGCACGATCGTTGAAGACAAACCAGATCGACTATAAAAAGGCCTAATGAGTAGTTAAGTATTTTAGTTGTACATCATCGGCAACTCGACATTCCACGCGATGCATTTCTAGTTACGTAAGTCATCTCTCCACTAAGTAAGACTTGTTTCCCATTCTAAGGCCCTTAGCCCGTTCATCTATCGACTAACTTAAGAGCATAAATTGTAAAGTAAGCGTCGAAAATACACGAAAGAGAGTTCCACATTCTAAACGGTGTGTCCTGTTCCTATTTCGACTTCATCTTTAGCTCGACCGACTAGCGAAAACATGTTTTGCACTAAGCTCTTCTGGCTGCTAGTCGGTTACTCAGCTAGCCGGCTTTGCCGCTGCTCTTCGTCTGCTGCGGCTGCTCTTTGGCTTTGGCCCAAACTGAATAGGCCCGATAATTGGTTTTTTCCGAGTTCTCTTTTTGTTTTGATTCGTCGTCGCTGAAATCGAAATCTGAATAGAGCTGGATGTGGAAGTAAGATATGCATGCTGGGTGGCTCGGAGATTGAACCAATTTATTTTAATTTCGCACTTGAACGGGCAACGTTGTGTCAGCGGGCTCAGAATTTCCGATTTGGTCTTTCGAAATGCGGCACCTAGAACGCGTCACCCTGTTGTTCTGCATCCTGTGGCTAAGTGGTGAGTGTCCCGGGGGATTCCCAAATAACGAAAGACTCAAGAAACGAACGTGCAGTGGGAGGGGTAATTAAAGAACAGCCCCCAAAGTGGGTCAAGGTCGGTGGAAGGTGTGACTAGAAATTCCCAGCGGCTAAGCGAAGGGCAATAAACCCGCGATAGCGAACGCCGAACCAATAAAGTGAGTGAGTAATTGCCGGGGGCACTTCTGGTTTGCTGGTTTGTTGGTTCTCTGGCTCGCGATTGCCCTGCTGACATTGACCTTCGCCGCGAAAGTGATTTTTTGCCTAGTCATCTAGCCAGTCCGTTCTCATTTTAGGGGATCGTGGAGCCACCGCCTGCCACTGCATTCGCCTGGGGAAGTGTGCCACTTTTGCCCGTCTCCTGTTGCACCATGGTCCTGGAGAGCAGTCCGCAGTGTTCGCCAAAGTGCACGATGCCAACTGTGGCTTCCAAGGCCTCGAGCCCCTTGTCTGCTGCCCCACACTCGCAAGCAACACCGCGATGAGTCATCCTTGGTCAAGGCAAGTCGGAAGATGCGTTTTGCCCCACCGGGTGATAGATGGATTTGGGATGATGGGGGTGATAGCAAGGGCACTTCCTTGCGCAGTCACTCCCAAAGCCACTCGGATTTTTCGATAGCGGAGATGGATCTACACGACTACTGGAACTTCGAGAAGCAACGCAACTGTCCGCAGCCTGTGGAGCCAGAGTTCCTCGATCGGCGATTCGGTGGCGGGCATCATTTTCACTATCAAGTAGAGCATGGCGATGAGACGACTTCCCCGCGACCCACTCCAATGGATAAGCCCATTATTTTTCCTGGGGACCTACGGTTCTTGCGGCAGGGAGAGGAGGATATAGAGGAGGGTCCTCCCCTGGCACCGTTTACCACAACACCAGCTCCACCAATTGCAAGAAATCCTGTTCCTCTGTCTACACCCACCACCACCTCGGTACCGCCCTTAGTCCAAGGGAGGCCCCAAAGTTGTGGGATAAGTGTGGAGAGCCGGCTGTTGGGAGGTGAACAGGCTACTGCTGGACAGTACCCCTGGCTGGCCAGGATTGCCTATCGCAACCGAAGTGAGTACAACTTGGAAGTTATTTGATATGCAATTTGGAATTTTATTTGTACCCTCCCCAAATCAATGCAACGCCTTTGCTAATTTATGATCTTGAGTGAGATCCTAGACTAGGCCAATCCCGTCCTGTGTGGGTTCATCCAATTTCATTGGCCACAATACCCAGTTTTATTGTAACGAAGACACCGATGGCAAAGAGCAGAGCAGCTAATCCCAGGGCCGCGGGACCTCTGTTGTTCGGTGGCGCCCTTAGACCCGAGGGTCCACCGGAGCCACCGCCTGGTCCGCCCCTGCCACTGGGACCGCCTTTGCCTCCAGGGCCACCTTTGCCGTCCTTCCCGCATTTAGTGCACTTAGTTCCGCCGCAAGGCTTGGGACCACAGGGTTGTCGTTTCTGGGGAGGACCACCAGCAGCACCTCCGCGACCACCGCCTCCTCCCCCCGGACCTGGAGCTGGGCACGATGCGGGGGCTTTGGTCTGAGGTGGTCCGGAACAGGGACACGCGCACATCTTGTGCTCGGAGGGTAGCTATAAAGGAGATGTTTAGTTTCAACGGTTTTCTATTTTCAGGTAACAGCCGCATTAGCTTCCGCTGCTCTGGATCCCTTATCTCTAGTAACCACATCGTAACTGCCGCCCATTGTGTGGTTAACCTAGTCAGCGACTTGGAACTGTATGTTAAGATTAAGAGTTTAAGGTAATCTCATTTAAGCCAAGCTTTCCCATAGGTCCCATGTTCGATTGGGGGATGAAGGTGGGTCGAGCCCCTACGCCATCGAGAGGGTTCTGGTTCATCCTAACTATGATCAGCCCAGATATGCAAACGACATTGCCCTTCTAAGAATCGATAGCACGGAGGGTAAGTTATTCTACTCTCTGGTCTACTGATAACTAATACCCGTCAATTTTCCAGGTGCTTCACACCCATATGCTTACCCTTGAACGGCTCGACTACTCTCGGGAACAGGCTGATAGGACAAACGGGAGTTGCTGCCGGTTGGAGTACAGGGAATCCGGAAAGTGAGTCTCGAAACAACTTTTTTGCTAGTATATATCTGGTCCGTTGAACTTTTCAACCAACTGTCAGATCGAAATTATTCGAGATCAGCGATTACTAGGCTTAAAGTTACACTTTAACTTTTAACTTGCTGTCTTTGTAGCTGTACCCTTAACTACATTTATATAAGCACTTATATGATCTATATGTAGTAATCGAAATTATCATATAATACTTATAGATAATGGCAGGACAAACTCATCGAACTCCTCCGCCGGTGTGCGCTTCATCCGCTTGCCTATAGTGAACACTACTAGCTGCGCCGTCGCTTATGCCAGTCTCAGCGAGAACTTCCAGCAGCCAATTGTTATCACCCCGAACCATCTGTGCGCTCAGGGAATGCCCATGAACGACGTGTGCCGCGGCGATAGTGGTGGACCCTTTATGGACGACGGAACCTCCGGTTTGTTGGGACAAGTGGACGCTACACGCTCATCGGCATCGTGGCCTTTGGGCCCACGCTGTGCGGGGTGACCACCGTTCCGGGGGTCTACACCCTGGTGAGTAGCTTCTCCGATTGGATCCTGCGTAGCATTAGCTGAGGAACGGACCAGTGAGCGGTCATGTTGGAAACCTAGCTCAAGCTAAGCTCATTCAAAGCTTTCAATGCCAAAGTCTTCAGAGTACATCAAAGTAAAATACCATGAATCATTCTTTTTATGGATCAATGAAACCGTTCTGTCTCCTATTCAAATCACCGCAACGCTAATAAAATATACATTCATAACACTCGTATTCAGAGAATTTGTATTTTACTGGCATTAATTGTTCTCAGGTAAAATGAATTTGTTGATGACGCACTAGTAGACAATATTTTCTAATTTATTAATACCTTTCTTTAAATACATAAATGTGGCTCCAAAACTATTTAAGCAAATTAAAGAAAATTAGATTTTTAATTTAGCTGACATTGGGATTTCTAATTAAACTAGTTTAAGGGCTTTTACTTAAACTAATTGCATAATATCATTACTTAAAATTTGTTACGCTCTATATGCACGTTTTTTTAAGATGCTAAACTTTAGTATGGGCAATGCAAATGTAGCCGGGTTGCATAAAAAATATTGGTTCTGCTAATTAGTTCTGGTAGACAAGTAATGGCAACTCTTCTTCGAGTTCTTTTCACCCCTAATTTTAACGATCTAAAATTCCCTTTGATAGGCGGAAGTGAAACTATTTTGTTTGCATTTAATTTATTAATTTGAATTAGTTTTAATTCTATATTCCTAGAAATAGCATCAATCATTTTCACGAACTTCATTTACCATATAATGATGCTGCAATAGAAATAGAAGGTTGTATATTAAAACAAACAACAGATTAGCAAATTATTTGTGAATGTCAAAAATCGACATTATTAATTCGTTTTATATTTGCTTCTAATTATAAAGCTAGCGTGAAATAGCCGCGGTTCAAACGAAATATAAATAGTATATTTTCTTAAAGGCTCTTTTCACGGATTGAAAACTCCACCTCATTACTCTACGAAACGATACGATATCTTTAAATGCTTCTTGGTAAACATCAGTTTACTTACACTTATCCAAGTGATCATCGTCAGGCTCTTCATAGAAGCTTTCGTCCATTACGTTATCGTCCTCCATTTTCGCAAAATTCATGTTCTCCAAGTTTTTTAGCTCGACTTCCAGTTCCTCGCGCCTGCATTCTATGAAGACATCAGCCTCGCTTCTACTTTTGCTCAAAAGCTTTTCCGTCCGGGCGGAATGCTGCTTCGGCCGGAAGAATATGTGTGGTTTCGTTTTAGTTCTAATGTGATTCTTTGCATGCGACATGGTTGCTTCCCAGGCTTTAAAGTCCTTCATTCTGGCCATTTTGTACTCCAATCGCCGGATCTCGAATTGCTTTTTTTTCCTGTCTAAGAAAAGCGTTTCTCTCTGTTTCCTCAGCAAGGCTCGTTCCTGGAGCTCCTGCTTCTCCACCTTCCTGTCAATCTCGGCTTTCTTGTCCTCCTTGCTCTTCAGCCGCGACTCCTCCTGGCAAAACTTCTGTAGGGTTCCCAGCAGCGATCCGAACATCCGGCGATTCCGCGCCCGCGACTCGGAGTCTGTGCCCTGCGCCTCGACCACCTCCTTCTTGGTGGGCATTTCCCGGATGACCCGGGAGTTAATCCTTGGCGGCCGACCCTCGTTCTCCTCGATGGGGAAGCGGGGAATCGGGTTCTTGCTCTCGTACATCCGCCGCTTGTCTTTGAAGACCCCACCTGGTCCGTTCCGGGGAAAAGGTCGATCGCCGTTGTGGTCGTTCTTCTTGGCATCGTGGGTGTATTTGAACTTCTCCGATCTGGAAGGCATTGGAGTCACCATAATTTGGATTTGAAACTGCTAGCTGAGAGTCTTACCTCTGCTGGGAATCCTTGGGGACGCGGCCAGCAATGCGGCGAATGTTTTCATTTAGGATCAACAGCGACTGCTTGGCCGAGTTCAGTTTTTGCTCCAAGTCGTCAACTGTCGATAGACCAGAGTCGTTCACCATTATTCCCGCGTGCCAGTTGGTCTCTGTTTATGTTAAATATCTTAATTAGAGCGGTGTAAGATTCCCATCAAGCAACTATAATGCTTGTTCTTCCTTATATACCTTAAATACCGAAACACCGAACGGTCATGCTGAAGAACGGTCACGCTAAAAAATACTAGCAAGACAAACATCGATGGAAGCATCGATAGTTGTTGAGCCGGTACCATCGATTGCTTTAGGACTATCACTATCACTGCTTCTCCTACTATTTTTTAACGGTTACTTGAAATTGTATTATTTAACAGAAATATCCTTAATATTAGTTATGACTTTTTTATTACTGGTTTTAATAAATAATTATGAAATATTTCTTTGGGATCCCCCTTTAACAAATATATTTGTCTTTAAATTTAAGTTTTTGGATATTATTTATAAAAAGAGAAATGTCAAAAAAACACTATATTTGCTTAAACTATTTAAATTTTAAAGAACTTTTTATCTCATTTTCTACGTTTAAAAACATTTACCTTTCTTGAATCGTTAAGAAATGTTTAACCCGCGTAACGGTTATGGTCCAGGACATATTTCAAGACCCATACGCTTTGAGCTACAACCCCCTTTGAACCTCTACTCCGTCTAAGAACTTTGGGATATGTGTACTCGTAGGTGAAATGAAACTAGATACATTGGGCGGACTCGGACTCGGGAGATTTTAGTTTCTTTGTCCGGCAAAAAGGATAAGACGTTCATCTGAGCGAGAGGAGTCGAGAGAAACGATGCAGCTGTCCGCCCGGAGAGCTTTCACTGTATATGTACACTTTAGCGTACATTATAAGGTCGGACCTGCACGCCTCCGTGGCTTCTGAGCTTGTTTTTAAAATAGAATAAACTCGACAAGGGTTATAATGATGTGAAGTGAATATAATAAATGGTTTAAGAACCCTTGAAAGTGCGATGCCATTTCTAAATTTATCCTGTTTCAATTCGACGTATTAAAGCCGAAATATTACCACTCATAATTGGAATAAAAAAAGGACGATTATATTGAGCGAGACAAGCGGATGCACGTACATACACATGTACAAAGGTCATAGTTGCAATGTTTACATCAAAAGCTCCCTCCGAAACGCATGCGCCCGCCGACAAGCTTTTTAGCCCAGGTTTGCAGGTGTAGTGCGATGGAATTTCGACGTGTTAGTTTCGCATCGCGGCTAGAAAAGTAATATAACTCTCTGCCAGTGCTCGTTATTTTCCATCTGGGTTTTTATTAAAATAATTCAGAATCGAAGCATACAATTGATTTATGTGTAACCCCAATACCCATGACAAATCCTGCGAACGTGCGCATATGAAAATAAGCAATAGTAAAGTGTATCCTGGAATTTTGGCAAACATATACAAGTGCATAGGAAAAGACATACGCGCATACATACTCGTTCATTAAATAAAATCAAATCCGTGACCATTCAAAGAGTCTGCAATATTTAATTTAACAGTTTTCAGTGTGTTTATTGATATCAAATTTTAATAAATATACCTAACCATATTACGCATAAACTTAGTTATAAGCAACTACTGCAAAATATATAAACCTATGTGTTATACATACAATGTTATATCCCGTGTAGATGTGTAATTGAGTGTTCATACACGAGTGTTGGTGTGCTCATCTTCCGTGAAAACTCAGATGATAAAATGTAACTTCTTACTCAATTAAACATACCAATCCGACAAAGTGTACGAGTGGACTATGAAATCCGTAAAATAAATGTAATTAGCAACTAACTACTGCTACTTAAAAAACATACAACATGGAATTAATGCTGCTATTTATGCTCGCACTTCATCTTATAGCATCCAACAACGGAAGTAAAGATGGTAAGTCGAAACTTAAGGCTCTAATTACTTTCCCTCTAACTTTTGGGGCGTAATTTAGGGGTAAAGTCAAAGTCAATTCGTCAAAGTGTACAAATATCCATGACTAACAACTTAAAATACCTTAATATTTAACTGGTTTTGTGTTTATATTTTAACTTTGATTATGTTAATGAGTTGCTAGCATCGACATACATTATATTTTTATCGGCGCTTAACTTCAACCGGCTAAAGATGAAGGTTATCTTTGTAGAGAAACCTTTCCTTAAGAAAAGGAATGGATTGTATAGATATTTAAGAACTAAAAGTAAACCCCAATCGTATGTTTGAATTTAATTTTTCCAGTACCAATTCACCAAATCGAATCCCTGGTTGGTGAAAATATTTATCTTCCATGCAATGTAACAACATATGATGGTGATGAACCTGTGTTGGTTTTGTGGTACCGAGATGATAAGGGTACTCCCATATACAGGTAAATAATACCAATATAATTATAAGATTATTGTTTGTATTGACAATTTTAGGCACTTATTTTTGTTTATAATCCTTTTTTTTATTTACATTAAGTTTACTGTTATATGTTTCTCCTTGATATAGTTATTACAACAATATTTT